ATCTGGTGCAATATGCCTCTTTTGGGCGGAGCCTTGCACAGAATCTCACAGATAAACGTAAGTAGGGTTTGAGTAGGGCCTACGAGAGATCTTTAAATTATTCAGACATGTATGGATGACTCTAAAACATTTTCAAGCATGTTTTTGATGAGGGAACAACGTTACAAAGCTAAGAGAAATTGATTTTGTGAAATACCTTCCCTTTAAATTATACTTAAATTCAAATATCTTCTATTTCCATTTTACTCATGAGTTTGTCCAAAAACACACGTCAGAGGACAAACTGAGAGTAACTCATGGGCACTTGAACTGAAGTGCAGCTAAATATTCAATATTAGATCCATATCAATATTCAATCCAGTGCACTTTATTTGCACAGATAAAATGTGTACCATAAAAGGCAGTAAATCATGAATTTAAAAAATAATAACAAATAAAAAGTGTTAAAATGAATAAAGCTAAAAAAGGATTTTTAGAGTAAAGGTGGGTCTTTTACTCCAAAAATTAGACTTAAAACTCTCCACTCCAAAGTGTGTATGACAGGTCAAATTTGACTTAATCTTGTGCTATAATACCTCTTGTAAAAACAAATTGTAGTTTTACACCAAACGAGAAGCAGTTTGTGAAGAAAAGTTGAAAAACATGTGCAGTAGTTTGATTAGCAGGATGCACTCTGGTTATGCTGTGTGTGCTCTGAAGGGGGAGTGATTTTGTGAGCAGAGCAAAAGGAAGGTGACATGTAGGTCACATCTAAATATGTCCTGTGTTAGTGGGTAATACCTCACAGAAGTAAAATAACCCCTCTTTAACAAAATAAATAAATCATCCCTGTGCACTTAGAGCAAAAATACAAGACCCTATTCACACGGGATAAGTACAACCTGGGGACATCTGGTAATTTGGAAATTACCGCCCCACCTCTGTGTTATTCACGGCTCATTCGCACGGGATAAACCAAGTCTGTAAATTAGTCTAGTTTACTGACACAGAGATTGAAAGAGAAAAGAACACGGAAAGAAAAGAAAAGGCTCAATTACAAGAACAAACTCTGAGATGCAGATTCGCATGGGACTAGTGTTATCATGATCACATTATCGTCTATATTTGGTGAAATACAGTATGTCATTTGCTGCCAAATTTTGACTTTAGAAATGACAGCCATGGAGCATTCGTACGGGATTAAGCTCTCAGACATCCTCCACAATTATTACAAATCACCAAAGGTCCACAGATGACACTAATCCTGTGTGAATAGAGTTTATGACTCTGGTAAAGTGCGAAGCAGCACATGGAACAAACAGCAGGTAAAGTGTCTCCAGTCTCGTCTTAGTTCATGGGGATGTCTACACTTCTTTCACATCTGCCTGATACATAAAGTTCAGATAACGTGTTTGAGGCAGTGTTGGGGAGTAACAGATTACATGTACCAGAGTTACATAATCAGAGTACAAATTATGAGTAACTGTATTCAGTTACAGTTACTGTTTCAGTGAGTGGTAATTGGATTACAGTTACTTTGTTGAAATAAATGCACACAGCGGTATTTTCCAGTTTTCACATTTTGGGCTATTCCCTTTTTTTTTTTTCAGTAATTTCACTCATTGCCGGACAATAAACCAGGTATAAACCAGGTCTAAAACCAGGTCTAAAACCAGGTCTAAACCCAGGTTGAAACTAGTTCTAAACCTGGTCTAAACCAGGTCTAAAATCAGATCTAAACTAGGTCTAAAACCAGGACTAAACCAAAAATAAAGCAGGACTAAAACAGGAATTAACAGGACTAAATCATGCTGTGTGGACCGTGTCTCCTCGTCTTCTATCAATAATATTTGTAATTTGTTTAAGTAAAGTCTGGGCTTTTTATTTTCTTTTAGCAGACAAAACATCTTATGTTATGATTTCCTCGTCTTTGCTTCTCTACAGCAAATCAAGCAATCCAAAGTATTCAGATTACGTTACTCACTTTAAATACCTTAATAGATTACGTTACAAACTACATTTTGAGGTATATAATCTGTAATCTGTAGGGGAATACATTTTAAAAGTCACCTTCCCAACACTGGTTTGAGGACATCTTGTACATATCTGTCAGGAGACTAAAAACTAAAAAAATAAATGGAGTTTTGTGGGTCACATGAGGTGTGTCATGTGACCTCTTCAGGTGCTTTATAGTAGTACTTAGTGTTTTGTTTTGTTTTTTAAAGCTTGTGCCCTTGTGTCCACACTAATCCAGCGGGGTGGTATGGTGGCTGAGTGGCTGCCAGAGTCGCCCGGGCCTTTCTGTGTGGAGTTTGCATGTTTCTCCCCGTGTCTGGATGGGTTTCCTTCAGGTGCTCCAGTTTCCCCCAAAACATGCCTCACTGTTCCCCAGGAAGAACAGTTGATAGCCAAGGTCAGTTAAATACAATCAATCAATAAACCTGCCCAGAGACGGTGCTACAACCTGGTACATGCATCTCTCCTTTTAAGGTTCATGTCAAAACTGTGCGCTGTTCCTGTCTCATTGAATAAAATAAATAAATAAAATAAATAAAACGGCTCCAGAAACCTGGTGCCTCCAGCTCCCACGAATTCATTTGAGTACAGATCTGATCCGACATCGTGTGGATGCCTGAAAACACTGATACACTGATGTAGGTCTGTGCACCAAAACACTAAGATGCTAGATTTTTAATTTTTATTCATTTTAATAGGACAGAAAAATAAAAAGAGTAATTTTGACGTCTGTAGTTCACAACAGATTGTCGTTGTACGTACGTTACAATGTGCCAAACACTAATAAGAATCAACATGCAGGTCCCTTTCCTAAAATGTACTAATTCCTATAGGATATGTGGGCCATGATTTACCTGGCAAATCTAGAATTATATCTCTGTATTTTTTTGATATAAAGGGACTAATCCACCTGTCAATCATGCCCGTCTGAAAACAGAGAAATTCACTGTTGACCAGACTCACATGTTTGTTAAGTGACAGGTAGATTAACCAATGAGGGACATGCATGCATCTGTATCAAAACTAAAGATACTGTATTTTTCAGGCTATAAGTCTCACTAAAAGTCCTTTAATTTTCTCAAAAATCAACACACCTTATAATCCGTTGTGCCTTTTTTATTAATCTTGAATAGATTTTACGTGGTACACAGCGCTCTAAAATTTGTCAAAATGGTTTAGTATGACTTTGGTAAGCTATGAAACCACACCGCCTGATGGATTGTCGGAGCATTACGGCTACCGAAGTCAGGAGCCTCGCAGAGTAAAGGGGCAAAGTATAGTTCTGCGTCTGCGCTACGGAGAATATCTGTCCATTTATATAAACGTGTGTCTGTGTGTACGACCTGCACACGTATAATCTCTGAAAAGTTTCACATGAACCATCTCCAACACGATAGAAACACAGAACAGACTCACCATCAGCAGAACACCCCTCTGTCACAGAAAGAACACTCATATTCCACTGAGTCGTGTCCTTTAGTTCGACAGAAGTTGAACCACATCAGCGACACAATAACGAGCTGTTTTTTTGAGCGCTCAGTTTATGCAAATTGGTCATGCGGTTTTAAGTTTCGTTTCTGTAAAATGTAAATAAATATGCTCAAAGTTGTGTGGATAGGGAAGGAATTGTGGACACAGAAACGACGTGTCTGGACGCAGATCGTTTCCGATACTGTGATACGCGGATTCGTTTCAGTGTAAACTTAGACTAAGACATTGCATTGCTTTGACCGTCCATGATGTTTCAGTAAAGGACTCTGGAATACTTCTGTTTTTAATTTTTTATTTTTTATTTTCTTAATCGATCGTCGGAAGAATCAACGATTGATTATCGATTAATCATTAAAATTTTTATATTAAAATTATCATCATTATTATGACTATCTGCACTACTAATCTGCATAAATAAATTCAACTTTACGACATATAAACCGTAACCACTCTAGAGCCACATCAGCCCGTTTGACATTAGAATGTGTTTAATTCAGTTTTGTTCAAATCTCACAGAAACCAAACTTAAAACTGCATCGCTAATTTGTATAAACTAAGTGAAGATAAAACTCCAGCTCTTGTGTCGCTGATGTGGTTCAACTTCTGTCGGATTAAAAGACATGACTCAGGTGAATACAGGTTAGTGGGTTAGGGTTAGCTAACCCTAACCAGATTTGCGTTTGTCAAAACCAGGACAGCGTACGGGGGGAGGGGGGCGGGGCCTCGTCATCCACATTGCGCGACTCTCACCTGGCAAAACTTTTTCCCACTGGACACAGAAACATATGCTGCTTTATACACTGTGCACATGGACTCACACTTGTCCCGAACACAACGGAAAGTGTGGAATTTCTTGTACAAATCATCGTTAAATACACATTTGTGCTTCGGTACGTTACAGACTGACCCACTGTTTGTGTCCCGCTCCTTCTGATGCAGAGACACATGTACACACCTGTTTGGTCACGACACACACAGAAACATACATTTGGTTTGTCGATTAAAATTAAAGTAACTGATGAAATTCTTAATGATCAATTATCGATTAATCGATTAATCATGCCCATCCCTACTCTGAACTAATCACAGAGCTGAACATTCGCCAAGCCAATGAAACGCTTTGATACACTGAAGCGATCGACACGCAGAGTGAAGCAGTAGGAGGAGGGGCCAACACTTCCACACTTTGGTCACGTGAGCGGCTGCTGCGAGACGAGCTCCAAGGCAGTGCTTCAGAGCGATTTGTTTCAGGAAGAACCAGACGTGCTCCAGAGCTCCGACTCATTTGTCCATCACTACTTTTACAGTTTCATGCGTAGTTTACTTTTACATGTAATCGAGTGCTTTTGTTTGAGTACTACTTGAGTACACTGTAGTGCATTTACTAGAGTACAGCACGGCCACTTCGAGACATTCTGACGTTCTGTGCTTTTGGTTCTTTTACTTGAGTACATCTACATTTCATCGAGCACTTAGACTGGAGTACTTTTCCCGCAGTCGGTGCACTCACTCACCCGGTCAGCACCACCACAAAGTCCATGACGTTCCAGCCGTTGCGGAGGTACGAGCCCTTATGGAAGGCGAAGCCCAGGGCGATGATCTTAATGGCCGCCTCGAAACAGAAGATCCCGATGAAGTACGGCTCTGTGTCGTCCTACGGAGACACACAGGGGACAATTCAGAAGAGCACGTCTTTGTGAGGGCTAAGAGAGAGCCTAATGAAGCGAGGGAAGAGGGGGAGGGGAGAGGGGGAGGGCGGACAGGGAGAGAGAGAGAAAGTGAAGAGAGAGAATAGGGGAGAGGGGAGGAGAGGAGACGAAAGTGAAGCGAGAGAGGAGGGGAGCGGAGAGGAGACAAAGTGGAGAGAGAGAGAGAGAGAGAGAGAGTGAGGAGAGAGTGAGGAGAGAGTGAGGAGGGGAGAGACACGGAAGAGAGAGAGAGAGAGAGAGAGAGAGGAAGGAAGAGGAGAGAAAGTGAAAAGAGAGAGAGAGGAGAGAGGAGAGAAAGTGAAGAGAGAGATAAAGTGAAGAGAGAGAGGAGGGGAGAGGAGAGAAAGTGAAAAGAGGGAGAGAGAGGAGGGGAGAGACAATGAAGAGAGAGAGAAAGAGGAAGGGAAAGGAGAGAAAGTGTAGAAAGAGAGAGAGAGGAGGGAAGAGGGGAGAAAGTAAAAAGAGAGAGAAGAGAGAAAGTGTAGAGAGAGAGGAGGGGAGAGGAGAGAAAGTGTAGAGAGAGAGGAGGGGAGAGGAGAGAAAGTGTAGAGAGAGAGGAGGGGAGAGAGAGAGAGAGAGAGATGAAGAGAGAGAGAGAGAGAGGAGAGAGAGAGTAGTGAAAAGAGAGAAGGTGAAGTGATCGAGAGAGAGAGAGAGAGAGAGAGAGAGAGAGAGAGAGAGAGAGAGAGAGAGAGAGAGAGAGAGAGAGAGAGAGAGAGATGTCTCAGAGATCATCTCAAGACCCAAGTGAGTAGAAGGAAATGTCTAATTGTTTTTAATCAGTGTAAATCTCTTTGTGTTGCATGTTTGTATGAACAGCTCTCTCTAAATGAAGTTTGATTGATTGACTGATCATGTGAAAGCTACCACTTCATGACATCACAAGAAACAAACATGAAACGTGAATGAAACAAAACCACTGTGGGTAAAGTTTTGTTTTGAGGAGGTAACAACATCAGAACATGGCTAAAGTCCACATTTTCACAACTCTCTCCACCACTAATTGTACTTTTTGTTTTATTTACGTCGTGATTCATTCGATTATTTTCCTCTGGGGTTATCAGCGGGACAAAGTGTTCTTCAATATGATCATAACTTTTGATTTACTGGCACAGCAACTGAGACTAAGAATACGACACCACCCAAGCTTTCTGTGTCTGTCTTTATTCCACTGTTCTCCCCGGAGACAGTGTTGGGAAGGTGACTTTTCAAATGTATTCCCCTACAGATTACAGATTACATACCCCAAAATGTAGTTTGTAACGTAATCCATAAAATTACTTAAGGTGAGTAACGTAATCTGAATACTTTGGATTACTTGATTTGCTGTAGAGAAGCAAAGACGAGGAAATCTTCACATAAGAAGTTTTGTCTGATCAAAGAAAATAAAAAGTCCAGACTTTATTGAACTAAATTAAAAATATTATTGATAGAAGACGAGGAGACACAGCATGGTTTAGACCTGTTAAATCCTGATTTAGACCTCGTTTAGACCTGGTTTAGACCTGGTTTAGACCTGGTTTAGTCCTGGTTTAGATCTGGTTTTAGACCTGGTTTGGACCTGGGTTTAGACCTGGTTTGGACCTGGTTTAGACCTGGTTTAGACCTGGTTTGGACCTGGTTTAGTCCTGGTTTAGACCTGGTTTGGACCTGGTTTAGACCTGGTTTGGACCTGGTTTAGACCTGGTTTAGTCCTGGTTTAGACCTGGTTTACTGTCCAGCAATGAGTGGAATTACAGAGAAAAAAAACAAAAAAAACAAAAACAAGTAACTGTAATCCAATTACCACTCACTGAGAAAGTAACTGTAACTGAATACAGAATACAAATTAGTACTCTGATTACATAACTGCGGTACATGTAATCTGTTACTCCCCAACAGTGCCTGGAGCCATGTGGAAACCTCTCCTCCTCTGAACGTGACTGACAGGACGAGAGCCCGCCCCCCGAGCCCCCGCCAGCCAACGGGAGCGCGGCGCAGACGAGAAGCATTCACACTGACAGGCTCTATATTCTTTTGAGTTCAGAGTTTCCTCGACAAAACACGACTTACATAATGAGGGCTGGAGGGCGGCCTGCTGAACGCCGCGGTGCCAGCATCTATTGTACATCAGCTCAGGTCCAGCTCAGCGGAGGAGCACAGCTTCAACCGAACAAGAGAGGGATGGGCCAACGCAAAAATGTTTCACATATTTTTCCTCATATTTAAAACTGTTAATCGCTGCATTGTGACACCCATGGCAAGGCAAGAAGTTATTTGTACAGCATAATTCATACACAAATTTGAAGTGTTTTGATTAAGACTAAGAAATATACTGAAGCCCTGAGCGGCAAGCACAAGAAAAAAAAAAAAGAGAGACACACTCCATTCTCTAACCCTTTTTTACCAATAACTCCAAAAAAATGAGAGCCTGTTTACACGAGAACACTTGTGGGTAAAAACGTCAAAAGATTTTTTCGGAAGTGCCTTTTGTTTAGACGGTGACGGCGTTTAAAAATGCAAAAATCTGAAACCACCGTCCAAAGAGGAAAAGTTGAATACGCTTTGCTGTAGTGTTTCTATCTACACTGCCCAAGACACAAAACTCTGGTCAGATGTGCTCAGGTCGTGTACAGGTTTACGTCACACACAGTACACAGAAACAAACATGTGGGATCATTTCCATGTGTTGGACCTTCAAACTTCTCTGGCAGCTCTAATAAACTTACAGGAGGCAAAACAGCAAATGTAGAGAATGTGCAGAGATACTATTAGTGAACAGAGAAAGATCTGCAATCACCTCTGTCACATTCTGGATGCACCAGTTGGTCTCAGGTGAGTCAGAGCAGTGTTGGGAAGGTGACTTTTAAAATGTATTCCCCTACAGATTACAGATTACACACCCCAAAATGTAGTTTGTCATGTAATCCATTAAATTACTTAAAGTGAGTAACGTAATCTGAATACTTTGGATTACTTGATATTGTCATGTCAACTACATGAATGTAGCAACCACATCGTGAAAATTCTTGTTTGTTTTCTTCAAATTGTCTGTTGAGCCCAAGTCTCCATGAACAGACTTTTGTTTACAGAAGCAAAGACGAAGATGTTTTGTCTGATGTAAAAAAAAAAACAAACAAACAATAAAAAGCCCAGTCTTTCCTTAACCAGATTCAAACTATTATTGATAGAGAAATGCTTTTTATATGAGATCACTGCTGCCTTCAATTAGTTCACCCTACTGTTAGTGTTATATTGTTTATTTAAAAAATAAATAAATACATCACTTTCAGTACAAACATAAAGGCGCCAGTAAAAATCAATAATATTGGATGTTTTTTACTCAAAATGATGCAAAATCAGATTATTAAGAATGACGATTATTAACAACCTCATCCACTGTGTGACTGACGCCGCCAACGTGAACAAGACGTTTCCATCGCTCTTACTGCCGCGTTCTGTGTGGGTTTCTGGCCATGAGTGGAATTATCGAAATAAAATTTACAAAAATTGGATATAGCCCAAAATGTGAAAACAGGAAAATACTGCCATGTAATCCATTTATTTCAACAAAGTAACTGTAATCCAATTACCACTCATTGAAACTGTAACTGTAACTGAATACAGTTACTCATAATTTGTACTCTGATTACATAACTCTGGTACATGTAATCTGTTACTCCCCAACACTGAGTCAGATGGATCTGGACGAGACCTGGAGAACCAGTCGATGGTGGGACAACTTTGTGGAAGGAGGAGCTGATGAAAATGTGTAGCGTGAAAACTTCAGTATGTCCAAAGTTGTCCTTGTTGCTTTAAGTACAAATATACACACTTCTGCATCTCCGTACACAGATTTCCTCCCAAAAACACTTGTCTATAAAAAGTGAAGACAAGATGCCACTGTTTTTTTTTCTTTACTATTGGTAAACGTGCCTATTTTTTTACTGCTTGTCGCTCAGGGCTTCATGGAAGACGTTAAATTCATAAATAAAAACAAAATGATCATCATCAAATTTGCATTAAAATAAAAGAGAGAAGAGTGTGGAATAAAAACCTGTCAGTCATATGCAGCGAAACAAACAAAGGCCTGTCTCACGTTCAGAGTGTTCCAGGTTTTAGATGCCCAAAACTGAAACACTGACTCCTCGTGTTTAGTCCTGGTTTAGTCCAGGTCTGGTCCATGTTTAGTCCTGGTTTAGTCCAGGTCTGGTCCATGTTTAGTCCTGGTTTAGTCCGCTTCTGGTTTATGTTTAGTCTATGTTTAGTCCGGGTTTGGTCCATGTTTAGTCCTGGTTTAGTCCAGGTCTGGTCCATGTTTAGTCCTGGTTTAGTCCGGGTCTGGTCCATGTTTAGTCCTGGTTTAGTCCAGGTCTGGTCCATGTTTAGTCCTGGTTTAGTCCGCTTCTGGTTTATGTTTAGTCTATGTTTAGTCCGGGTTTGGTCCATGTTTAGTCCTGGTTTAGTCCAGGTCTGGTCCATGTTTAGTCCTGGTTTAGTCCGGGTCTGGTCCATGTTTAGTCCTGGTTTAGTCCAGGTCTGGTCCATGTTTATTCCTGGTTTAGTCCAGGTCTGGTCCATGTTTAGTCCTGGTTTAGTCCGGGTCTGGTCCATGTTTAGTCCAGACCTTAGTTCTGGGGCCAGCAGGAGGCCTGTCCCCGTGCTCCTTGTGGACAGGCTGGGTTCATGTTGGAGATTATGATGTCATCATTTCAGGGCCTATTAAACTCCATGAAGGACTCAGTGTTTTTAAAGAATTATCCAAACAAAACAGTACAAATGTTGAGCTTTATCATTATTTGATAAAGACTTGTTGTATTACACAGAATCATGTCTTATTGTTCTTTGAACTGATAACACTCACAGATCTGGGATTAATAATGGCACCACTTTGTGAAACTACTGTGTCAGTTTTTGTTTCATGTGGACAGACCCAGTGTTTCCATTGCAGGTCAACAAATCTCCAGTTTGACACTTCAGATCTGTCTCCAGTTCTGTTTAAACTTGGGATTTTACGAATTCTGTCACATGAACACAACTCATTGTACTTTTCTACTGCACATTACATCAGGTTTGTGGAGTCATAGTGTTTTGTTCTGCATCATGGTTTTGTATATTCATGAAGAATGACAGAATCGCACTGCAGACTATACGGAGAGTTTGAGTAGGGTCCTAAATTAAGTAAGTAAGTTTTTATTTATACAGGGCTTTTTCACAGACATATGTCACCAGAGAATTCACATTTGTCTCCAGCTCTGTTTAAAGTCTGGGGGATTTTAGGAATTCTGTCACATGAACACAACTCATGGTTCTTTTCCATGAATTATCTAAAAAGATAAATCACCAGTTTTGAATCTGATCATTTATATGACTAACTCAAATCATTTTTGATCTATGTTCTGATGTTATTTCCTCCTCACAAACAGACCTGGAGTTGTGTTTTGTTTCATTCACCTGTTTAACACACAAACCTGCACACTGAGCTCTTCTCTCAAACAGAAAACACTCTGTTCCACCTTGTGATGTCATGCAGTAATACAGGAAGTGCTCCACTGTGTTTTAAAACTCCACACACCTTCACTAGAATCATTTGGATCATTTCAGCCCTGGAACTGCCGACATCTACTGAACTAAAAGAAAAAGGAGCTGTTCACATCAAATCTTCCTCTTCATGAGCACAGGTGAACAGAGCATTTAGAGTTTTGGAGATGTAGACAAACTAATAATAAAGGATTTACTCAAAGATGCGTGAATGAAACAAAAAAACACAACTCTGGGCATGTTTTTGTGTAATATAGGACCTTTAAATGTTACTGTGTGTATAGAATGTTGTGATATGACCTGAACCCCAGTTAATGAAAAGAGATGATATTGTAAAAGCAGGAGAGTGTACTCACCAGGCGCTCGGACATGGGCGTCTTGTCGCTGGCCGGCAGGTGCTGCTCCAGAGCGAGCACGATGCAGTTAGCGATGATGGTGGCCAGGATCATGTACTCAAACGGAGTGAGGGGCACGTTAAGGAAAAGTTTGGACAATATCATATTATTCAAAACAAAAAAAGTCACATACACAAGGAACAGAACAGTCAAGAGAAATAAACAATCCAAAAGTCACACTCAGGTATTTTGAAAAAGAATCAGCATTTTAACATGAATTCATAATTGGTTACATTTGTTTGAGAATTTGATTGTCATAATTTCACATATAAGGCAGTGGTCTATAGAACTCTACGAGAGATTCACTAATGCTGAAAGAAATATCCAAACTTATGATCTTCATTTAATCATCTATAAAAAAAAACAAAAAACTTATCATCTACATTTTAATTCCACCATAGAATTTTCTACCTTCTCAATTAAGGATTTGCGTGTGATGTGTCAGTCATGTGATTTCATGTTTTGATGGTCATACTGGAGGTCAACACTGGGATTATTCAGTTTATTTCAATATAATCATGGTGACTTTAAACAGCGCAAATGACATAAAACTGTCCAAAATCACCAGCTCGTTAGATCAGCGTCATTAGAAAGGTATAAAGCTAAAGTCGTCCTCCTGGGTTGTGGAATAGATCCCAACAACATTTTTTGGTTGAAACTGTGAAGTTTGTATTTGTTTTGGCCTTTCATCCACATGGAGCTGCGTTTTGGGAAAATGATGTTTTTTGAGAACAGGTTCCAGATTGGAGAAAACTTTTGCAAAAAAACCCACCTATATTTCTGGGATAAATCTAAAATTGGCTAAATGACCTTAAAGTTTAAAAAACAGTGATGAGATCTGCATTATTAAACATCATTATTATTGTTACAGCGCCACATACAGGTGTGGCACATGTATTACTTCATTTTCACTCAGCGCTCTGTTGTTGTCTGGACGTGAATATTTATTGATCAGAGATTCGTGAGCACGTGAATTTTTCCGGACTGTGAAAATAAAATAAAATCCAGGAGTGTGGTCACATTATTCACTCCATCCCCAGTGGTGATAAACTACTATTGTAGCCACAGCTGCCCTGGCTGACTGATGGTTCCAATCAGCGCCATCGGTCCCTCCAACCACCACCATCACTCACACACACACCACTTTCATACTAGGCAATGTGGGTGAAGTGTCTTGCCTAAGGACACAACAGCTGTGGCATCTCATTTTCCCAGAAGTCTCCCATCCAAAGTACTAACCAGGCGTGGTCCTGCTGAGCTTCTGACATCTGACAGGATCAGACTTTGACATGCAAACATGCATGAACAACAAAACCTCAAAGCTCTTCAGACGTGTTTTTATCGAGGGGAACAATGTTGTAACATGGGACAGCTCCAAAGCCTTGATTTAGCATAATACCTCCTCTTCAAACTATTCATGATAAATGAATGAATATTTGAAATAGATCATCTTCAGAACCTAAATGATTTGATTGGATCTACATAAAAGAATTCAGGTCCATTGTCCAGTAAGTAGCACAAAAACCCTCTGATCAACAGTGTTAATCATGAGCTTCATTATTATGATGATTTTTTATTCAGGCTGTCAAAATCGTCACAATCCATTCAGGATATTTCACCTCACAATTTGTCATCATCATTTCACTATAAAACAAATAAACAAATAAACACATCCACAGTGCCTGTGCGTCCACGCGCCCCCTGCCCTCCTCCCATCACTCGCTATATGTCTTTGAAGAACATGGAGGAGTGGGCACAGCCCTTCCAGATGGTTGCTCTCCTCTCTTCATCATAAAGCTTGCATTTTCTCTGGGTCAGTGCTGCAGTCCGTCTATTAAAGAGCTCTGAGTCCAGCCAAGCATTACACTCCAGAGACGAGTCACAAACAGAAAGAACAGAAAGAACATGTGCTTAATCATCACAGCAGGCTTTCACAGACGTAACAATTTGGGAAATATTTCATAGGACATCATCTTTGGGGCTTTGTTTTGTGGAATACATACACCAAGATGCTTTCCACATGTCCCATTGTATCCAACAAGTATTTCAAACATAACACTGTCTGTCTGAGTCCTGCTCGAGTGGACAGTGGATAAATGAAAACTCCTTTATTACAAACTAAAAGAAACTTGACTCTTGTGAGCTTCAGGTCATGTTCTAATGTTGTTCCCTCCCCAAAAACAGACCTGGACTTTTGTTATGTTTCATTCACATGTCTGAGTAACTCTTCATAACTGTGTTAGTCTGTCTATTAGCCTGATTCATCAGCCGGTTTCACTTTGTGGAAACTGTCTGACCTCACAGCATTAGGATTAATTCGCTCGACGGTAGGCAGGTACTTTTTTCATTTAACCAATCACTGCTATTTGTTCGTGATGTATGTGATGCACCACAAATGGGGCTAACTGATATATTAAGCTTTTCCCAGATCCCGTAGGAAGAAGAACAATAACGTCTTTCCCCTTGATAAAATTCACCAAACAAAACAAACCTCTTTGTTCCAACTTTAAATCCTCAATCTCGGGAATCGTTGACAACACAGAATGACTGTCTCTTCGCTGATTGGCTGGTGCCCAAACTCACACTTCAGGGGTTCTTGCAAACATCTAGTGTATTCTGATTCCTGACCTAGTTGCTGGAGAGAAATGAAATTAAATGGAAGCACTAGGTGGCGTCAGCCTGACTATCTGTCTACATGTCCCAAAGCTCAAAATGCTGTGTTCCACCTTGTGATGTCATGAAGAGGTAGTCTTAAAGTGAACACCTCTTTTTACCTTTCGTTTAGGGAGACCAGGCGTCTCTATTTACCAGGGACAATCCCAGTTTTGAGCCCTGTGTCCCCTGTCCCAGCAGATTTCAAGCTGGAGTCACCCAGTGCCTCCGCTCAATTTCATTTCTCTCCAGCGCCTAAATCAGGAATTTTGTAAGAAGTTACAGACTTTGCACCGGCCAATCAGCTGTGAGCTGAGAAGTCATGACATCAAACTCGTCGTGCCTGTTTGTGTCCCTTTTGTGGAACAGCACAACAGTAAACAAAGCGTCGAGATGGATGTAGACGAACACAGACATTCAGTGTCGGCAATGATTCCTGAGATCAAGGATTTAAAGCCGGAACAAGGAGAATGTTTGGTGAATTTTATCAAGTGGAAAGACAATCTGTGTTTCATTCATTCACTTGTTTTTCAAAATAAAACCAAAAATAAGAAAACAAAAAACAATTATTTTCTTCATTATTTGTCTCCAAAATCAAAATGAAAAAACAAAACAGATAATTTGTTTTTTCAGTTTTCGACTTTTTCACTTTACGGATTGAAACGGGACTAAACCAGGACTTAACTAGGACTAGAACAGGTCTAAACCAGATCTAAACCAGGTCTAAACCTGTCTCAGTCCTGGTCTAGTCCTTGTCTAGTTCTGGTCTCAGCCCTGGTCTAATTCTGGTCTCAGTCATGGTCTCAGTCCTGGTCTAGTTCTGGTCTAGTTCTGGTCTTAGTCCAGGTCTAGTTCTGGTCTCAGTCCTGGTCTCAGTCCCAGTCTGGTCCTGGTCTCAGTCATAAGCCAGGACTGAAGCAGGACTAAAGCAGGACTAAAGCAGGACTGAACCAGAACTAAACCAGGACTAAACCAGGACTGAACCAGGAGTGTCAGGACGGGTCTGGAGGTGCACCTGCACCTCGGGTGATGAGGAAACCGGGACCAGACTGGGACTGAGACCGGGACTGAGACTGGGACTGATACTGGGTTAGTCCTGCTTTAGGCTTGGTAAAGTCCTGGTTTAGTCCTGTTTTAGTCCTGCTTTAGGCCTGGTTAAGTCCTGGTTTAGTCCTGTTTTAGTCCTGCTTTAGGCCTGGTTAAGTCCTGGTTTAGTCCTGTTTTAGTCCGTATGCGGCACAAAAGTCCGGCAACACAGTTAAAGTCACAGAAACAGGAAACGTTATCAGTTTTCTCCCTTATTCATTTAAACACAAAATCAGAAACTGAAAAAATGAATCGTTATGTTTTTTCATTTTGATTTTGGGGGTAAATAATGAAGAAAATAGTTGTTTTTTGTTTTTCATTTTCTTAATTTTGGTTTTATTTTGAAAAAGAAATGAACGAATGACACACGGATTTAAGATGTTACTGTTCTTCTTCCTACGGGATTTGGCGCATTACATTCGTCACGATCAAATAACAGTGATTGGTTAAATTTATTTAAGTACCCGTCTACCTAACGAGGAAACTTCTAACGTTTCCTTTACAACTGAAAGCTGCTCAACTGTGACTAAAACAGAAACGAACAAAAACGAGACGCGCTTCTGATGGTCGTCTTTAAAGTGAGTTCTCCTCTTCCTCACAGACGAACAGGCCTCCAGAGCCACACACCAGCTCACACAGAAACTCCCACACAACACCTCACACACGTCCAACGCACACTCCAGCTGCACACTGACTACACACACAACACACACACACAAGAGGAGAGAGAGGAGAGAGGACGAGGGGAGAGAGGAAGAGAAAGAAGGAGAGAGGAGGAGAGAGGAGAGAGGAGGAGAGGGTAGGAGAGAGGAGACAGAAGAGAGGAGGAGTTGGGAGAAAGGACGAAAAAAGGAGAGAGAGGAAAGAGGAGGAGAGGAGAGAGGAGGAGAGGAGAGAAGACAGAGGAGAGAGGAGGAGGAGAGTGAGGGGAGAGAGGGAAAGAGGAGGAGATAGGGAGGAGAGAGGAGGAAGAAAGGAAAGGGAGAGAGGAGGAGAGGAGACAGGAGAGAGGAGAGGAGGAAGAGAGGAGGAGAGAGGAGGAGAGAGGAGAGGAGGGAAGAGAAGGAGGAAAAGAGGAGAGAAAAGGAGAGATATGGAGAGAGGAAAAGGGGAGAGAGGAGGAGAGAGGAGGAGAAAGGGGAACAGAGGGGAGGAGGAAAAGACAAGAGAATAAGAGGGGAGCAGAGGGGAGGAGAGAGGAGTAGGAAACAAGGAAAGAGGAAGAGAAAGGGAGAGAGAAGCTGAGAGGAGAAGACAAGAGGGGAAAAAGAGGAGAGAGGGAGAGGGGAGCTGGCAGGAGGAGGAAAAGAGGAGAGAGGAGGAGAGAGG